GCTTTTTTTGAATAAAAAATATTGCCCCGATAAAAAAAATTAAAAAAAAAAATATTGCCCCAGTAGAATATAAGCTCCTTAAGGACAAGAACTATTACCTTTTTTTTGTCTTTTTATCTTCAGTGCCTAGCTCACTACTTTCTACGCTATAGGTATTGAATACATATTTGCAGAATTGAATTTATTATTTTTCCATTATTTTGGTAACTTCCTCTCTTAGAGATATATATTTCAGAACTGATTCTTTAGTGCCTTCAGAGGCAGAGTGGATAGAACCCTGGGCCTGGAGTCAGGAAAACCTGAGTTCAAATCTGTCCTCAGACACTGACTCGCTGTGTGATCCTAGATCATTTAACCTGTCTGCCTCAGTTTCCTCAACTGTAAAATGGACATAATAATATCACCTACCTCCCATGGTTATTATGAGGATCAAATGAGATAATATTTGTAAAGTGTTTAGCACACTGTCTGGCATATAGTAGGCACTATATAAATGCTTGTTTCCTCCCTCCCTCCTTTCCTTCCAAACTATCACCCTCTAATAATTTTTTTCTTTCTGTATTTGGCTAGCTCTGGCTGTTGTTCTTGACTTCACCTTTTTAGGTATCATTTTTATTTCTTTCTGTTGCAATCTGGCACTCTGAGGTGTTGGAATTCAGTCCCAGTTATTATTGTTCCCATTTTGTAGGTAAAAAGTCACTCTTGGTCCCATAGCTTATAAGTGGTAGAGCTAGGACTGCATTCCAGGCCAGCAGTGTTCTTCCATTTTAACATTTAAAGACACTGATTCTTAGAACTAGGAAGGGATCTTAGAGATCACCTCTTCTAACTTATTTTGTTTTACAAATGAAAAAACTGAGGCCCAAAGACAGGCTTCAATACTTTGGCCAGAGTTACACTCATATATTTTCCTGTTTAAGTTTTTGTCATGTTTCTACCAGAATGCTGGTGTTCTGTGGTGGAAAGACCACTGGACTTGAAATCAAGAGAGAACTGGGTTTGAAGCCTGCCTCTAAGGCTAACCAAGTGATCCCAGGCAAGTCACTTAAACTTTCTGAGCTTCTATTTCTTCATCTGTAAAATGTGGGTGCCTACCACACAGGACTGTTGTTAGGCTCAGATGAGATAATCTATGTAAAATCTCTGTAAACCTGTTACATAAATCAGGTATTACTATTATTAAAGGTGACAGTTTTACTGTCACTGATGATAAGGATAGGTAATGGCAGAAATTCTGCCAAATCTCTTTCATTTTCAATCTGTTGTACTCCTTCCACATTACTCTACAATCTGGTTTGGATGGCTTTTACAACAAACTCTCTGTAGGCTCCTCTGTGAGGTAGTACTATGCATCCATCTACCATTTGCAACCATAACATTCTGCAATTATATTTGTTCTCAAAATTTCCATTGTCCTTGGCTACCAGGTCTTTCCATTTAGCAAAGTTAACAAGCGTTTGCTGGCTGAGCCAGTTTCTGAACTGTACAAGATTTCTACTCAGAAGCCTCATTGTGGTGTAGAGGTGACCCTGAGTTCTTGAAAGCTATGTAAGGGAAGCAAAAGTTCTGCCAGGTTTTTCCAAGCTGGAAAGGCTCTGGGTATGGTCTTGGTGAGCCACCACCTGTGATCCAAGGACCCACTTAGGTAAGTGAAGAGAGGCTTATTAACAGATGTTTACACAATTGGTGATTAATTCTTTGGCCATGGCAACCCATGAAACAAAGAAAAGTACAAAATAACCTTTGATGCTATATAATCTCCATCTGCTTCTACAGTGATGGTGATAGAGTAGTGAGAAAGGGAGCAAAGGGTGCTAACAATGACAGCTTTCAGATTATCTATAAATATTAATTTAACTATTAGTATTCCTAGTGCAAGAGCTTTGCCAGTAACCAGTGAATTTAATCTGGAGAAATTAAACCACTTAATATTGGCACTGAAAATGATATTTAAAAAAAACAACACAAGAGAGTTGTAGTTAAATAAAAGTGCCATTTACAGATTTTCCTTGGAGAACTGAATAAAAGTTAATGGAAGGGGTTTAATCATATGTCCCCTACATAACAAGAAATATTAGTTTCAGACCATCTTGCTATGCAGGCCTCATAATTATAAGTAAAAATACCATCACAAAGATAATTTATAGCTTACAAGCCAACTTTTTCCCCTTAAAATGAAGAGGTAAAGAAATTCAATGATGAACTTGACAGGATCTTCTAAACTAAGGCTACATATACCCTGAAACTCTACTACTTCAGGATGACAAATTAACAAATGATTTTTCATTCATTCAATTCTTTCATTCATTTTTTTAAAATTAGATATGCCCTCAATGTGTATGTAGATCATTCTCATAAAGATTACCAAACCAGGTCTCCTATACTCTGGTCATCCTCCTTAGCCCTCTATACCCCAGAATGTGAACTCTGCCCTTGGTAACCTGATCTTACCTGATCTTACACAGGGGAGGACAGCAGAAAACATGTTGGAAAACATGGTTTGAGATTAACAGGAAACCAAATTGGCTTTATAGACTACTCAGAAGCTTCAAATTAGAAAATTTGAATGGTAAACAACATTTAAAATTTTAAATTGGGCCTTTTATCAGTCAGAATCATGTCACTAACATGAGTGTTATTCCTAAATAAGCTCTCTGTGTACAAGCTGACCAGTGGCTTATTAGAGCAAAGGTCAAGATCAATGCCAAATGATAGGATCCAAAATTTAGAGATCAACAAAAGAGACCTTGGAAGCCATCTTGTCTAGCCCCTCATTTTACTTAACAGATGCGGAACCTGAAGTCCAAAGAGGCTAATAACCTGGCCAAGGTCACAATGGCAGTAAGTTGTAGAGCTAAAATTTTAATTTAAATCTTCTGGCTCTAAATCCAGTGCTCTCTCTCTAATGTTCTGTAGTGCAATGAGAACTCTGTGAAAGCACAACAGCTCCAGCCTGACCTGTGTAAACAAGCTGTTGACTTTGAAAAGTGAGAAATGGATAAAAGTAATGACAGACTGATTGTCACAATTTCTTCCAAAAGTCTGTGTGACCAGTTGCCACAACCATGACCACAAGAGCTTCAGCCACCATAAAAGGGGCAGTATGTACAAGGTTCTAATTGTGCAGTGTAGACAACTAGAAACTAGGACAATATAGAAATAATGTTCTAATGTTGGCGTATAATGTTTCAAAGGAGTTTGGGAAGAGAAGGGTCAGTGTGGGCTGAATAGCAGGGACATCTTCATGGAGGAAGGCGGGGTGGGGGGGTAGGGTCTTGAATTGTACCTTGAAGAACAGGTAAGCTGAGTGACCCTGGGCAGGTCACTTAGTGATTGCCTCACTAAAAGGCAAAATAATAATAATAATGATGATAATAGGTAAGGTTATAGATAAGGTGTGAGCGTTTTAATTGGGGTGGGTAGTCAGGATCTCATCATGAAGTGATTTTTCCTATAAAGTATAGCTTAGTTTCATTGACATTGTTAGAACACTAATACTGGCTTTTCTTCATGCTCCTAGACCCTACTGATAGTGTGTGGCTGTGACTCCAAAGAATTTTGGGTGAAACACAAGTCTTTCCACAATAGCTCCATAGGCTGTTGAGCATTATATTCTATCAGTATATAATACTATTATTCATAATGCTGTCTTTTGTGGCACAATGTATAGTGCATTGGCCCTGAAATCAGGAGGACCTGACTTCAAATCTAGCCTCAAGTCAAACACTTGACACTTACTAGCTGTGTGACTCTGGGCAAGTCACTTAACCCCAATTGCCTAAAAATAAAAAATAAAAAAAGAAAGAAAGTATCTAATCATAATGCTATCTTTTTTCATAAATTGTTTCATGTTTACATTTGTCTTGTCTTCCCATCTGGCTTTTGGTCTCTATCTATGACCTGGTCCAGGGGTGGGGAACTTGCAGCCTCTAGGCCACACGTGGCCTTGTAGGTCCTTGGGCACAGCCTTTTGATTGAGTTTAAGTTTTACGGAACAAATCTTTTTATTAAAAGGATTTTTTCTGTGACGTTTGGATTCAGTCAAAGGGTTGCACTTGAGGACCTAGAGGGCCCCACCTCATTGTCATGCCTTCCTTTTAAGCAGCTTACAACCCTTTGTAGAACTGTAGTCAATCACATCCCTTACAGCAGAAACAATTCTATTCCAAATCATGCCATGTTATCACAGTATGGTACAGGAAGTTCCCATTTATCAAATTTTGCTGGAGAATAGGATGTTCTTGTTAATTACATTCTAAACAATAAGAGCAAGGGACTTTAGCCTGGAATCTCTGAATTTGTTTTAAAAAAATTTTTTATAGGGGCAGCTAGGTGGTGCAGTGGATGAAGTACCGGCCCTAGAGTCAGGAAGACCTGAGTTCAAATGTGACCTCAGACACACACCACTCACTTGCTGTGTGACTCTGGGCAAGTCACTTAACCCCACTGCCTCATAAAAAAAATAATTTATAATTATTATCCTAGTATAATTGCTTTCCTTTCTAATTCTATGTATTTTATTTTATACATTTAAAAATATGATTCTCAGGAGTTTTTGCCAGGTTGCCAAAAAGGTCTATGACACAGAAAGACTAAATAAGTTAGAGGGATGTAATATATGAGGCAACAATAGCCCAGTGCTAATTGCTTTACAAATATTATATCATTTGATCCTCACAACAACTCTAAGAGGTAGACAATATTATTATCCCCATTTTACAGTTAAGTAAACTGAGATTGAAAGAGGTTAAGTACCTTGTCCAGGGTCACACAGCTAGTAAGTGTCTGAGGCAGGATTTGAACTCAGGTTTTCCTGACTCCAAGCCAGGGTTCTATCTACTGTGCCACCTAACTGCCATTTGCTAGCCTATCCTTACACACTAAGGAAACTGAGTCATATCACAGAACAGGAACAGTTGTGTTTTTGACAATCAGAGGCAAGAGCTCAGACTATATAGTCTAGGCCTATGCTTTCTAGGAAATGACTGGATTTCTTTTACCTGAACAAAACTGAATTCCCTCCAGTTGAGAGAGTTTGAGATAGAAGGCAGTGAGGTGATGGCCAGCAATGACAGAATGCCTAGGGCCAGGATTCCCAGTGAGACGTAAATCTCCAGTCTCCAGACTTCCTCCTCATTCCATATATTGCTCTTGTTTGCCAAGACCTGTCACAGACAAAAACAAAATCAAGAAATATACTGTCATCAACAGCTGATGGTAGACAGTATGATTAGCATATCCAGTTTTTCTACTCAGGGCCTAGAAGTAAGTGGGCTTCCAAAGCTGTCAAGGTGAGGGGTAGGGCTGGGGATGGGAGGAGGGAGGCACAGGTGCAGAATGTAGAAGAGACATAAAGAAGACTAAGTAAGTTGTTAACCACTAAGAGAGGATGTGAACTCTTCTTCCTTGGAGATCTTTCCAAATAGGATTAATTGGAGTAGAGATAGAATCTGAGTTGTCCTTTTGGTTTTAGGAGAATGTAAGGGTAGAAGTGATTAGATACTGTGACTTCCGGGAAACCACTGTAGTTCTGTGATTTTAAAAAAAAAAATTTGATGTTTTGCAGATTCTTTCAGTTCATGCACATTCAGGTGGTTGTTCTGAAAGACCAGTAATGGTGGTCAACTTGAGGGGACTGAACTAGATGACCTCTTGGGACCCTTGTGGTTCCAGATAAATAATATGGACTATTGGCAATGGGGGAAAGTGAGAATACTTCTCCCAACCACAGCTCTGGGATGGCCATGAGTGACAGATAGCACTTGGTGTTTAAGCCAAAAGAAATTATGCACATGCCATGGGAGTATATCAGTTCTTTCACATCTGCATATGAAGATAATCATTTCTATCAGCTATAATTCCCTTTAAACATGTAAAAGTTTACACAGTCAGGAGTTAGGAGGTCTATATTGGAGTCCCAATTCTACCACTAACTAGCCGTGTGACCTTGGACAAGACATTTTTCACTCTGTGGGTTTCAGTTTCCTTATTTGCTGGGATTGGGTAGATGATCATGAATATCTTATTCAGTCCTCAATTCTAATTGCATACATGTATCATTGTTTAAAAAAAAATCAACATTAACCAGAAAGGTGTAGCTAATGCTACACAGAGAATAGTGCAAATTTTCTCTTAAATCACACACAGGGTGGTGTCACCCACACTTAACATACTAATACTTACTGGACTCTAATAATGCTAATTAAATCCATGCTGAATTTTTTGGTTCTTTCTAGGTTTAAGAGTCCATCATAACTGGGTAATATTAAAACTACCCAGCTGAGGTTGAAAGCTAGAACTTTGACTAAGGTATACATACATTCATATGTGCGATTTCTCTTTTTATGTCTGTTGATATTTTCACTTTAAAAAAAAAAAAGGATTGGGGTAGGCAGAAAGGGAAGATGCGTATGAAAACCTGGGTCCCAGTCAACCAGTCACCTTCATTAATCTTTGAGCTTTTAGCTGTCTCATTCAGAAGTAAACAGTAATTAAACAGCAAAGTTAATTAGAATCTAGTACTCCTAGCATGTCTCCATTTCTTCAGAAATGCTTTTATGTTTAGAACAAAATATTGTTTTTGGTGATATATATGCATCTGGTGGGAAGAGATGATTTGCAAGGAAGTGAAAAGTAAAATGTCTCCTTTTGACTTCTTTTCTTGGTTCAGGACTTTAATTGACTTAGATGCGTAAAAAAGGCCCAGTATCCAGAGAGAGAAATGACATATTATATATATGTTTGTGTCTAATGGTAGCCATCTCAAGGGTAGTGGATGGGGAGGGAAAAGAAAAAAAAGGAAGTTATATGATATCTTTGCGGTATATTTGAAAGGAATAGCAAGTTGTATACAATGGATCTACAGTTTCAGGTGCAATCCTATTTTTTCCATTCCACTTTGTTATGGAAGTGGCCTGTTTTATTTCTTAAGTTCAGAATAAAAAAAAAAATTAAATAAATTTTAAAAGGCTCAGTATGTTCCTCTAGTTCATAGGTAGTTTTTTCATGGGACTAGAAGTACACTATGGCATGCATCAGCAGCCTAAAGAGGGTAGGTGTGAAACAAGTCAGGATGGTAAATAGCCTTTGGACAAGGTGTTCTTAACCTGGCATCCACAAATTTGGTGGTTGTTGTTTTTAAATATTTTGATATCTGTATTTGAATTTTTTTAATCCTATGTATTTTATGCATTTAAAAACATTATTTGAGAAAGGATCCATTAAGTTTTAATAGAAAGCCAAATGGGTCCATGACACAAAAATTTTAGTTAAGCATCCCGGGGGAAGAGGGGTAAGATCAGTTAATGCCAACTATACACCTTTTCTCTCCTCACCAGCCCCACAGCAGTTTGATCCTTTGTCTGTCAAAGCTACAACCAAGTATGTTTTCCTTAGAAAAATGTCGGCTGGCAAAATGGTTCCCACTTGAGAGCACTAAAAAAAACAAAAAAAAAACAAAAAGGATATCTACTGGGGGAAGAGGCATTGTATAGTGGAAAGTATCTTCCTTGACTTTGTTCTCAAAATGTGGTTTACATTAGGAAGCAGGTAAGCAAATGAGATACAGGTTTTCTAGGGTTTGGATTCAGAATTTCTATCAATTCTGTGGATTCAGAGTCGTTATAGTGGGTTCACTCTCACTTGCCCACATTGTCGAACACATGCAGAGCAGGTAAGGAGGGGCAAGTGAAAGCAAACCACAGTGGGTCTGGATGGGAAAGGCTACAAGTTCAGCATGAGCTGTGGTACCTTCCCCACTCCCTAATGGACTCATAATGTCACAAGCACTGGCATCTATGGCCAAGGTCATCCCCAGAAGGCTAAAAGGTATGCTCTCCAACCCCCCAATACCTCTATACAGGTAAAATTTGAGAAGCAGAGCCCTCTAGGAGCCTCCTGGTGAAGACTAGTCATTAGGGACGATCTGCCCTGTAATCTGGGGGCCAAGGAAGACAAAATTAAAACCTCTGTTTAGGGTGACTGTCCTGGGGGGTGGGAGGTGGGTGTTCTGGCAGCCAGCATTGTAGGCTAATGACCAACTTTCACAAGACCTAATCTTTCCAGTTAGCCATGTGGGGTTGAATAATGTGTAGGATATTAAAGAGATAATAATGTCTCATACATGTATAGTATGTCTCACATATAATATTTGTTGTATAAGGGTAAGCTGAAGGAATTGGGATGTTTAGCTTGGAGAGGAGACTCATGAGAGACACGATAACTTTCTCCAGGTATTCATAGAGCTGCTATCGTAGGGAAGAGAGATCAGATTCGTTCTGTTTGGTCCCTGTTGGCAGGACCAGGAGCTATGGGTAAAAGTTGCAAGGAAGCAAATTTAATCTTGACATCAGGGAAAATTTCCTAAAAGTTAGAGCCAAAAGGGCTGCCTAGTGAGGTGGTAGGTCCCCACTCTGTGATGATTTTAAGCATAGATTTGATTGAGAGACCTGAATTTAAATCCCAGCTCTGCTATTTGCTGTATGACCTTGGGCAAGTCATTTCATTTTTCTAGGCCTCACTTTCCTTATTTGTGAAAAGGAAGAGTTGAACTAGATGACCTCTAAGGTCCCTTCTAGCTCTATATTTGTGATTCTGACCATCTGACAAATATATTACAGTAGGAATTTCTTTCAGATGAGTTAGATTAGATCTTGTTGAGGTCCTTTCTAACACCAAATTCTGGGATTCTGTTAAAGTGGATAGTTTTTAAAAGTTTTCACATAAATCATTTTCACGCACATTATTTCATTTGGTCTTCAAAACAATTCTACCAGGTAGATAGGGAAAATATTATCATCATAGATCATGTCATCCACGCTAGAATTCAGGGCTCCTGACATCCATCCAGAGATCTTCCTTATTTATTATGCTGCCTATTTTTTTTTTGGTGGGGGGTGGGGTGGGGGGGAGTATCTGAATCTAGGATCTCATTGGATAGTAAACTCATAATCTATAATCTCCTTCCACTGGTGTAGTTGCTCAAGGCACTGAGAAATTAAGTGATTTGCGCATGGTCATGCAGCCAATATATGTCAGATAGGATGTGAACCCCAGTCTTTCTGGCTCCAAGGTTGACCCTATATCCATTATTCCATGCTGCCTCTCAACTAAGTGTCTGAATATCCCGTATCTTATAGAAGGATACCCCTAAAGGTTTGGGGAGTCTTTGCTTAGTTATTGTATAAGGTAACTCACATCCTTGTAGGAGAGCTTTGGGGAATGAGAAGAGAAATGGCATCAAATGCATAAACTTACCTGTAACCATGGCTATACAAAGTAGTGTTGGACTATTTAAGGATTTGAGAGCACTGCTGTGCCATTGAATATGTACAACAAATAGGTAAAATCTCAATGAAAAATGATGATGTTAATGTTGCTATTTAATACCCAGAATGTTGGGGCTGGAAAGATTCTTAGAGAAAATCTAACCCAATCCCTACTTTTTACAGACAAGGAAACCAAAGCCCAGAAAAGAGAAATGACTTGTCTAAGGTCAAATAGTCAGTTAGGGACAGAACTGGGGCTAGAATATAGTCATCCTGATTCCCCATTTAGTGTTTTGTTTGTTTGTTTTTCTTTTCCCCCCATACAACACTTCAAGAGGTCTGGCCCAGAAATAAACATGCCAGGACTTAAGAAACCAAGGAGGTTTCTGTTTTTTCAGTCCCAGATATTTATCTACCCCCATTCCCAGGGATATCATATGGCATTCTGAGTCTTCTTTCTGGGTCTCAAGGAGAGAATACCTGCTTGACAGCATCATTAATAATCTGGTAACGATGAGAACGGCGCAGGGGCAGGCAAAAGCTGTAGACGGCATGCAGAGAGGCACAGAAGAAACTGATGAGGCCAATCTGTTTGCGGTGCTGGAGCCAGTGGTCAAGCCAGTCAGGAAATTGGTGGTATTTGGTGCCCCGGTGGAGCTGCAGGATAGCGGCAAGGACCCCGGGGAGGTACACCAGCGACAACATGACATAAGCCACACAGGGCAATGTGGTATTGACCACGGAGACAGGGAGTTTATAGAAGCGGTTCTTGTGCTCTTGGATATACGGATGCAACACATCCCGGATGAAGTTATAGGTGTAGAAGCAGATGAAGAGGCCCAGGGCCAAGATGATTGGAATCTTCCACTCTGGGAGGAGCCTCAGGGGGATGGCCTCAATCTCCCTGGCAGATGCCAGTGACCCCATGTCTACTGGATTGAAGCCCATGGCTCGGGCTATCTCTGAGACCTTATGTTTGGCTTCCTGCTGATCTCCGGAGATTAGCACCTAAAGGGAAATTAATACCAGGAAACAAGCTCATAAAAGGGTCATCTCAGATCATAGAAAGTTAGAACCAGGAGGGATCTGAGAGATCACTTAGTCTGGTTGAGCAATCTGGTCCTGCACACCAGCCCTGCTCCAAGCCCACCCCTGCTACTTTCTAGTTGGGGCAGGTGTATGCTTTCATCCCTATGGCGATGGTGTTCCTTAGAGAGAGAACCTTGGTGATAATCACTTATATTTGAACAAAGCTTTATACTTTTCAAAGGGCATCAACATCTGCTAATTACCTCAGGTATTACTACTCCTATTTTATGGATCAAGAAGTTAAAGCCACAGAGTAAGTTAGTGGCAGAGTCAGGATTGGCATTCTGTTTTCCTAAGTCTAAGAATAGCATTCTTTTCTACACACCACTTTGCTTCCTGGCCTCTGGCTACACGGGTAGGACCTTCTCCACTAGCCAATAGGCTTCAGCTGTCTTCTCCCTCCACCTCCGTGGGCCGTTCTCTCATTGGTGAATTCCTCTCAGAACCACCATTCTGAGGAAGGGTCCACGCTGGGCATCCTTCTCTACACTTCATTGACATTCCCCTGGGGAGGTACCTTCTCCCCGGCCCCAGTTCCCTTCTGTGTGTTGTCTCTTCTCGTTAGAATGTAAGCTCCTCGAGGAACATTTTTTTTGCTCATAACGCCAGTGCTTAGCACAGTGCCCAGTACACAGTAGGTACTTAATAAATGCTTGGGGACTCAAATTGACTTTAGGGGATTCTACCCCTAATCATTAGGAATTAAATTGAGGAACTAGAAGCTCAGAATACTTGCTCTATGTCGTTGTTGTTAAGTTGTTTTTCAGTTGTGTGACCTTGGTTGGGATTTTCTTGGCAAGGATACTGGAGTGGTTTGCCATTTCCTTCTCTGGCTCATTTTACAGATGAGGAAACTGAGATAAACAGGTTAGGTGACTTGTCCAGGGTCACACAGCTAATAAGTGTCTGAGGCCAGATTGAACTCATGAAGATGAGTCTTCCTGACTCCAGGCCTGGCATTCTATCCACTAAGCCATCTAGCTGCTCCATATAGCATGTTGTATAGACATTAGCAATTAGGGCTAGTTTTGAGTAGTGCTCCATCACTTCATCAGCCATTTGCATGATACCTTCCCAAGTGGTTTTTCTAGGGCTAAGGCGTCCATGAAAGAATACTGTGTTTCCTGCCCCTTTCACTGCCCTAAGTGCTTGGCAACAGTGCTTCTGGAGTCCGCTATCTATAGAAAGTGTCTTTGCAAATTTTTGCTTGGGACTTGGACTCATACTCTCAGTTTCTTTTCTGAATTATGGCACTATAGTGCCAGGAGGATCATTGGCTTCCTGCTGTCCACCGAATCAAGCTCAAACTCCGCCTCACTTTCAAGAATAAAGGCATGAAATAATGTCAAAGATTCCGGCAGAGCATCCTACCTAAAAAGCTTGACCCCTCATTACTCTCCCACATGAACACTTGCTTTGAGTTATATTGGGCTTACTTTCCACCAAACACACCATGAGCATTCTACCTTCTGGCCTCAGTTCCGATCCATCCAATCCAACAGCTCATCACTACCCTCTGCCTCTCTGATTGGAGGGCAGAGCCATGAATGCCCAAACCTCCATCTAAGGAGAAGACTCAGGACAGACAACAATCTCTCACCTGGCCGTATTACTCTGGGACTTCTCTAAGCCCTCCACCACACCCCATCATCTAGTACCTTCCCTCACTCTCATGCCCTTTTTAGCTTCCTTTTGTGTGCATTGTCTTCTCTAATAAGACTGTAAATTTTTCAAGGGCAGGGATTGTTTCTTTTTTCATATTTGTATCCATGACACACGGTAAATGCTTACTGCTATCCCTCTGTCTTTCTACCTAACCAAATCTTACTCTATCTAGTAATCTTACTCTACCCAAAGTAACTTCCCTTTCTTTAACTACTTCTTTCTATACTTTTTCTTTCTTTTGTTTTCCTAGCCTTTCTCAATTAGGAATTTATTATATATTGTCACATTAGCCTCTCATTGTTAATCTTATGTGATTAGCTACAGTGTAACCTCCCTGAAGGCAAAGCCTGTGTCTGTGTCCCCTATTTCTATATCTCTTATAGCAGGATATAGGACTGTGTACATATTAAGCACCATATGAATACTGGTATTAATGACTGATATAAATTCCTGTGCCTGTTTGTGAGTCTGTATTTTTTTTCTCAACCAAAAAGAATGCTGTTTTGCATGAAACTACTCTCTATTCTAGCCTGAGCTCCAAATACCTCTTGCTATACCATTTCTACCTCTTAGTTTAGTGACTATTCTGAAAGGTATTTCTTTCTCTCCTCTTCTTCTCCTCCAGAAGCTCTTCATTCCATTCTCTTTCTCCCACAAACCTACCTGTTTGTTCCCATCTCTTGGGCCAGCCTGCAGGGTCCAGGCAGAGATGACGTTGAAGGCCTTAACGACCGTGCAGGTAGGGAAGAGGGAAGCCAGGTGCTCAGCGTTGGACTCCCGCCGCTGGAGGTGCTCCTGCTCTGTACTATTGCTCACATCCACAAGGATCTTGCCCACCAGCAGGTCACTCAAACTACAGAGTGTAGAGTAGTGCTCCCGATACATGGCCACAAAGATTATTTCAGGTGTGCTCACAGCCTCTGCTTGGATGGTTACTTGGGCTGCAGCAGGAAACAACCCTGCTGTTCTTTTTGGGTTTCGGCTCCCAACCACAACCCCGAAGCCTGAGCTCACCAGGCGTGTGGCCAAAGAACGGGCAAAGTCCCCACTGCCCAGGATGCCCATGGTCTGGGCCTGGCTGGGAATCTCTGTGAGGTTGGGATTGCTGTCGAAAAGCTGATGGGAAATTAGGGGCTTGTCCATGTCTCCAGACATCCTTTCAGCTGAAATGAAAAAAACAAGCAGTTTTAGCCAACTCTCCGTTCCTTAACACTCCATTATCTGTTTCAAGCTTTCATCACAAACTCATGAAGGGGGATAGATAAATGATTTAAGAATTTTATTTGGAAACTCCAGAATGTTATATCTCCAACTTGAAAGATTTGTTGTTGTTATTGTTTTGGGGTGTGTGTGTGTGGTGGTGGTGGTGGTAGTGGTGCTGAATGAAGTCTGACTATGTTTAGAGAGTAAATTTATGGGGGCAGCTAGGTGGCCCAGCCCTGGAGTCAGGAGGACCTGAGTTCAAATCTCAGCCTCAGACACATAACACTCACTAGCTGTGTGACTCTGGGCAAGTCACTTAACCCCAATTGCCTCACCAAAAAAAAAAAAAAGAGAGAGAGAGCAAACTTATGGAAATATTTACCCCCAAAGAATATAATGCCTCATAATATTAACTGGGGTCAAGAGAGATTTAGATAGTTATGAATGATAGACTTTTGATAATTAGGAAAGTTAGAGATTTTTGAGGTCAAGGTCATACCTAAGAAAAGTTAAGTTAATGAAATTTATCTATGATGCCCACCCATTTCTCTCTTAGCATTTCACTGGTCTCCCTAGACAGGTATAAAGTCATCCACCCTTAAAATGTTTGTAGGAAAATAGCTCACCGTATGACTCCATCAGGGGTAATTGAACTTCAAGAAGGGATTCTTGATGATAAAAAGTGTCCTAGCAAGTTAGGGGCAGCACTGGGATTAGAACCCAGATCTCAGGATTCCTAAGTCAATCTTCTTTCACTCTATCGTGTTGGTTGCCCATCTCTTTTTTCACACACACCTATGTATGCTGCACTTGCTCTCCCTTTTCCCCAGATCAATGCCACATACATTTACAGAATGTTAAAGCTGGAATGGGACCTTAGATCGTCCAGGCTGACCCCTTCATTTTGTGAGACAGAAGCCAAGTCCTAGAGTAAAGCAACTTTTCCAAGATCTTATCAGTGGCAAAGCCAGAGCTAGAACCTGGTTTAGTGTCCCCTTTCCGTTATCCCATGACTCTCTACCTTCCTGGATAAAACCTGTCAAAGAGAAGTTTGGGGTGACAGGACCACCTAAGGATATCATTGCACTAGCCCAAGGCCATGGGCCTAGGGCTTAAAAGAAATGTAATGGCTGCAATTCAGCCTCTACCCTTCCATTTAGACTCTCTTGAGATGGTGTATTGATATGTCTGTGGATAGGAGTGACAGGGCACTTAGACCCCTCTTCTAGCAGCAGACAAAGCTGGTCTTTTTACGGAGGGTCAGAGTAGACAGCTTTCTATATGGTGTGATTGCAGGGTCTGAGGAGGACCTGCACCCAAATATCTCTGTCACCATTCTGGCAGGCATCTGATTCCACTATTAGAAACACTGCTTTCCTGTATTTTATCTTCCATTAAAATGAACATATCACTGAGAGAAATACAACAGAGAACCTGATGGACTCTTCATGTTATAGGGATTACACTGATCAAGGGTTCTTAACCTTACTATCGGGGTTATGCTACCAGAAGTCTGTAAACTTGATTTGGGGGTTTGTTTTGTTTTAGATTTAGTATTTGGTAACTGCATTTCAGGATAATTTGTTTTCTTTGTAAACCTATGTAGTTTTATTATTCTGGGAAAGGGTCTATAAGTTTCTACAGACTGCCAAAGGGTGCCATCACACACATGCACATGCATATGCACATATGCACACACACACACACACACACATACATACACACACATACATGAAAGTAGAAAGTGACCTGGATTTACAGTCAAAGGACCTGAACTGAGCCCCAGCTCTGCCACTTACTTTCTATGTGACCTAAGGCTTGACCATTTCACCCACTTGGGCTTCAGTTTCCTCATCTGAAAAAGCTTTGGATTCTAAGGTCCTTTCCCTCTCTAAATTTATGACTCTTTTGTTCCTTCTTTGTCTCACTTTCATGGCTTCATGTCTTTACATCTCAAGGAAAAGATCCTGAGGGGGGGTTTTATTAGGGGAGTAAGAAGAGAACTGTGTACCTGATTGGAAGTAGGAAGGAACCAACAGTGAATAGAGTGAAAAGATAGAAAAAGCAGAAGGGGACAGTGCAGGCAAACTTTGTTATGATGGAAAGAACACTGGACTTGCAGGCTGAAGACTGGGGTTCAAATCCTGGCTTTGCTGTTTGCTAATAATTGTAGTTTTATAGGTGCTAATGACCCCTCTAAACTCCCGTTTCTTCATTTGTAGAAAATGGAACAATAATACCTATTTACTTCACAGACTGTTGTTGGGGAGAAAGTGCTTTGTTAGAAGCATAACAGCCCTGTGAGAGATATTGCAAGTATTATCCCCATTTTACTGATGAGAAAACTTGGGCCTAGAAGGGCAGCTAGGTGGCATAGTGGATAGAGTGCTGGGCCTGAGTCAAGAAGACTCATCTTCCTGAATTTACATCTGGCCTAAGACACTTACTAGCTGTGTGGCCCTGGGCAAGTCACTTAATTCCTATTTGCCTCAGTCTCCTCATCTGTAAAATGGGGACACACTGGAGAAGGAATGGCAAACCATTTCAGTATCTGGTAAGAAAACTCCAAATGAGGTCACCAAGAGTGTCAGACACAACTGAAATGACTGAACAACACCAGAATGGTTATGCCTTACCCAACCCTATCTGGCTTTGTTCCTAGGGAAGGATTCTTTCAGAGCTTCTTAAAATTTTCTCTTTAAATCAAGAACTTAACAAAACAACCACAAATATGAACATTTAAATATGCAAAGAATTGTTTTCAAAAGATTATATATGAAACCATGAACTTCTATTGTATATGTAGTTTGTTTTCAATAAATGTATGTTATATATGATAGTAGTAACACACTTGGCTCTGTTTATGTTTCCTTTTGAACTTCTTCCTGTGTATTTTTAATGTTTTATTGATGCACTTTCCTTTCCTTTTATAATTTACCTCTGTCATTACCCACTAATTCCCCCTACTCCCTGCTGTCAAATAGAAATCCTCCTGTGTAACAAGTAAATACCGTCTACAAGAACAAATTAAGGATTCTATGATCCTATGAACATTCTGGCCAGGTCTGAAAAAATGTCTGTCTCCTGTACCTCTGGCCCAGCAAGTCAAGTCAAGAATCATACAAACAGGAGCAAAAAAGAGACAGTCTCTGCCCTTAAGAAGCTTGTAATCTAATGGGGGACATAAAAAGGAACATAAAAGGAAGCTGGAGGAGGGGAGTATGCTGGAGAAGAAAGTCTGAAGAGTCAGGAATGAAAGAGTGAACGTGTCTGGCCTTGGGATCCTTCCAGGAGAAACAACCAATCAGAGGAAGGGACCTCAGGTGTGGAAGGATCTTGCAGGGTGAGGAGGCTGCTGGAGAAAGTTAGAGAAAGAGGTCTGGAGAGTCAGGAGTGAGCCTCACTGAGAGAAGAATGAAGGAGTGAAGATCACCTCCCAGCCAAGAGTTGTGAAGTCAGTCTGTGCCTCTGCTCCTCAAGAAGAATGAGAGATGGGACCAGTGAGTGAGGATTGTCCGAACTCTGAGTTCTTTCCAAAAAGCTATCCTGCCACCCTAAATGATTCACTGGGAGCTTCAAAGCCCAAGGTAGGGGGCTAGCCACTAGCAAAACTTTGAGATTATCCAAGTTTGTCTTCTGCCTCTCCTTACCTCCCTTTTATTTACACTTTCCCCTTTTATAAGTGGCCTTCACTTCACTTCCAAACCCTTATACTGCCTTCATCTCTCTGTCAAGGATGTTATTTAGTCATGTTCAGTTGTGTCCAACTATTTGTGACCCCATTTGGAGTTTTCTTGGCAAAGATACTGGAGTGATTTGCCATTTCTTTCTCTAGCTCATTTTATGGATGAGGAAACTCTCAAGGATAGTAATTTCATTAATTTATTCACATTGGAGTGTGAATGACTGGGTAAGTTTCACCAGAGCATTTGGATTTTATGGGAGAAGTTTGAAGGCAATACTTCTCTGCAGAGACTTTAGGTAGAATTTACCAGTTACTTACTGGCCCTATGGTAGGCCAGTAGGGAAAATATTTTCATGATATATTGGGAGTTTTCTGGTTCTCTTAAAATCCACCAAGTACGCAGTCATCTTTTGTGTTATATATAGGGTCAGCCCTGTCCAGTGTATAGAGACACATGTATATAGTCCAGGGAGCAGCTCAAAAGGCAGATTTTGGTTTAAGAACAAAACAAAACAGGTTCAAGAAAGTTTAGGTACATATCTAGGTGATGGTTCTGGGATAGGGATTAAAGGGAACTCAAGGATGTCCAAGGGACAGCCCTGACCTATGAGGTAAAATGTATGGAGGTTTATTCCTATGCTTTCCCACAAACCTTCCCTTAAATCATCATTACAGAGTACCAGGTTGAAGGTCCTGTCAAGGTGACTCACATAGGGGGACATCACTGATGCCCCTGGAGCCCTGACCTGAAGTGTTCTTATCACTCCTGATGGTGGCTTCCCTTTTCTACAGTTTTCACCAAGAATAGAAGATAGTAAGATCTCCACAGGCAGAATGATACAGGATCGAACAGATGGAAGAGCTCTTGGAGAGCTAGTCCAGTCGCCTTACTTTACAGATGAAGAAACTGAGGCTGAGAGAGGTCAAATGACTTGCCCAAAGCAACAGAAGTAGAAATAGAAGAAATAGGATTTGGACCTAGGTCTTCTGACTCTAATCCAGATGTAGGTTCTCCTCCCATTCAATCACAAACATTTTTTTAGAACAAATTATGCACAAGATACTGTGCACAAATTTATTTTGTATGTAGAAGACAAAGAATAACACACAGCCCTTTTCCTTAAGGGGAACTTAAAGGCCAGTTGAAGAACAAAACCAGTAAAGTGTGATAATAGTGCCATATGAAAGGAATAAATGCAATTCTCTACAGGTTCTGAGAAGGGATACTTTAAATTAGAGGAATTAGGAGAAAGTTTTAAGAAGGAGGCAATATTT